TATTTTACTTTAATTTTTCATGCTTAACCTGTCATCATGGCTGAGATATAATGCAGCAGAATAAGTATAAGGATTTGCATGAAAATAATATGTTCACTTGAACAATTGCGCAGAAATCTCATCATCTAATTTTGTCCCTTTTTATTTTGTATGTCTGCCTTCTTTTCCAATAAAATTGATTTCTCAAGTGCAAATGATATCTTAAGTTGGCAAAAGTATAAAGACTTGAATTACTGGTCTTAACTAGAATAATAATGTGCTGTCCCAAGAATGAATCAGAAAAAGAAATTGAAGACATTTGTAATTTAGAGCTATAACTGCATAATTGGACACTTTGCATGGATGGCAGAAGAGTGTTTAGGAGAAGAGTCTTGCATGTGCTTGTATGGTTATCAGTGAAATAAATATAAACATGGTGACTAATTGATGTTGTGTGAGTTAAAACATCTTTTTCCACTGTGTGCTACTAGGTGGTGACAGTAGCATGGTCAAATGCTTGCACTTCGAGATGTATCTATCTAATATTTTGTTTGGTCATTTTTTATAGGCAATAGTGACAATTGCAGATGAAGATGGAAACTACCTACAAGAAGCTTGGGAACATATTTTGACTTGTGTTTCCCGGTTTGAACATCTACATCTCTTGGGAGAGGGTGCTCCTCCAGATGCTACATTCTTTGCCTTTCCTCAGAATGAGTCAGAAAAAGCAAAACAGACTAAGTCCACTATCCTTCCTGTTTTAAAAAAGAAGGGGCAAGGAAGGATGCAGTATGCAGCTGCTGCTGTGTTGCGAGGTTCATATGATAGTGCTGGTATTGGTGGGAATGCTTCTGGGGCAGTCACATCAGAACAGATGAACAATTTGGTTTCTAATTTAAACATGCTAGAACAAGTTGGTGAAATGAGCCGCATATTCACACGTAGTCAGAAACTAAACAGTGAGGCGATTGTGGACTTTGTTAAGGCACTTTGCAAGGTCTCTATGGAAGAATTGCGATCAGCATCTGATCCTCGGGTTTTCAGCCTTACAAAGATTGTTGAGATTGCGTATGGATCGCCTTACTTCAATCTTGTTTATTTTTTTTGTATTAAAAAACTGTAGAGTTTGACCTAAATTGTTTTCTTGTAACAGGCATTATAATATGAACCGCATCAGGCTTGTCTGGTCTAGCATCTGGCATGTGCTCTCTAATTTCTTTGTGACAATTGGCTGTTCTGAAAACCTGTCAATTGCCATTTTTGCTATGGATTCGCTACGCCAGTTGTCAATGAAGTTCTTGGACCGAGAAGAGTTGGCTAATTATAATTTTCAGAATGAGTTCATGAAACCTTTTGTCATTGTTATGCGTAAAAGCAGTGCAGTTGAAATACGTGAATTAATCATCAGATGTGTCTCACAAATGGTATTATCTCGTGTCAACAATGTCAAATCTGGATGGAAGAGCATGTTCATGGTACTGGAATATTCCCAGTCCTTTTTTCTTTGTGATATGCTTAATTCTACAGGCGATAAAAATTAATTTGATTTCATGAATTATTCTTGTTGCATACTGATAATACTCCATTGTTATGTTCTTCAGGTGTTCACTACTGCAGCTTATGACGACCACAAAAACATTGTACTCTTAGCCTTTGAAATAATTGAGAAGATTATTCGAGACTATTTTCCGTACATTACTGAGACTGAAACCACTACCTTTACTGATTGCGTGAATTGCCTAATTGCATTTACCAATAGTAGATTCAACAAGGACATTAGCCTCAATGCTATTGCTTTTCTTCGATTCTGTGCTACAAAACTTGCAGATGGAGGTCTTGGTTCCTCGTCAAAAAATAAGGACAAGGAAGCTTCTGGAAAAATCTCTCCATCTTCACCTCAAGCCTGGAAAGATGGAAAACAAGAAAATGGTGAAATGCCAGACAAGGATGACCATATCTATTTCTGGTTCCCTTTATTGGCTGGTAAGAATACTGCATAAATTGGTGCTAATAAACATAATGTTGCAAAGCGGTTGTGTTAAAATTTTGAGCTTTTTTATATATCACACTGGGAAAGAGTTTTATATATTTATCTCCACAATGCAGGTTTATCTGAGCTTAGCTTTGATCCTAGGCCTGAAATCAGGAGGAGTGCCCTACAAGTTCTGTTTGAAACTTTACGTAACCATGGTCATCTTTTCTCACTACCTTTGTGGGAAAGGGTGTTTGAATCAGTGCTATTTCCAATATTTGACTATGTGCGGCATGCTATCGATCCATCTGGGGAAGGTTCACCAGGGCAAGGGACTGATGGTGATGTGGGTGACCTTGATCAAGATGCCTGGCTCTATGAGACATGCACATTGGCACTTCAATTAGTTGTTGATCTCTTTGTCAAATTTTATAACACTGTCAATCCGCTATTGAAGAAAGTTTTGGTGCTTCTAGTCAGTTTTATTCGACGACCACACCAAAGCTTAGCTGGTATTGGTATTGCTGCATTTGTGCGATTGATGAGCAATGCAGGGGATCTCTTTTCTCATGAAAAGTGGCTAGAAGTGGTTTCATCATTAAAAGAAGCAGCCGATTCAACACTTCCTGATTTCTCTTTCCTTCTTAGTGGAGATGGCATCATTAGAAGCCATGAACATGCTTTGAGCAGAGAAGAGAATGGAGAGTCCACCGTGTCTGGCAGGAGTGATGAGGATTCAGAGAGACTGAGGACAAACCACATGTATGCTGGAATATCTGACGTCAAGTGCCGAGCTGCTGTTCAACTTTTATTGATTCAGGTAAATTCTACTCCATTATGGGCGTTGGGGGAGGTTGGACAAACCATGTTTACGTTGATTATAGGATGCGGCTTGGTATATGTTTGAGTTAGTATGAACTCTAGTCCTTTTCCTAGGGACCCAATTGAAAAACAACCCAATCTACAGGGACCAAATTTGCATGTTCCCAAATTTGAAGTCGTGGAAGTATATCGCAATAACCATTTCTTTTGAAATTTATTGTTTTGCTATCCAGTTACAGTTTTTGAAAATAGAAAATGCTGGAGTGACAATCAATTTGAAGATAGGGCAAACCTTTGAATGCATGTGTGCGTTGTGCATGAGTGTGATATATACATGTTTTAAATTTCATCATATGATATTTACATGTTATCATGTCAATACGGTTTTGTGAGGTTTGTCTTTCACTATATTTGGCAGGCGGTGATGGAGATTTACACCATGTATCGCTCTCACCTTTCCGCGAGAAACACATTAGTCCTTTTTGATGCTTTGCATGATGTTGCATCTCACGCTCACAAGATTAACACCGATACCACTTTAAGAGCAAGGTTACAAGAATTTGGCTCCGTGACCCAAATGCAAGACCCTCCACTGTTGCGCATCGAGAACGAATCTTACCAAATATGCCTTACATTCTTACAGAACCTTGTAGAGGATAGCCCAGCAGGTTACGATGAAGCGGAGGTGGAGTCCTACATCGTGGACCTCTGCAGAGAGGTTTTACAGTTCTATATTGAAGCTGCTAGCTCTGGAAAGGTATCTGAATCATCCAAAGGGCAGCAGCTCCATTGGCTAATTCCTCTAGGTTCTGGGAGACGAAGAGAATTGGCCCAACGTGCCCCGCTTATTGTGGCAACTCTCCAGACTATCTGTAGTTTGGGAGAGACCTCATTTGAAAACAACTTGTCTCAGTTCTTCCCCCTCCTTTCCAGCTTGATAAGTTGTGAACACGGTTCAAATGAGGTCCAGATTGCCCTCGGTGACATGCTAAGCTCATCTGTGGGGCCTGTGTTGCTTCGGTCGTGTTGAGCAGGTGAGATAGGACCGTGCAATTTGAGATGTATGATAATTTTATCCTAAGTCTTCATAGTCTTCATTTTCGTATTCTTTTTTATTCGTTATTGGAAATATAGTTTGATAGTGTTATGAAGAGTTAGTAGCAATGTTTTGAATTTGATTGACTAGTGCTTCTAAACCTTCTGTAGTATTATATGAGATTATAGCTCCATTTAGAATTTATACGTCTCTTCTGGAGTTTTGATGTTGTATGCTAGTCACATTTTTTTATCTTTACCTGGACAGACTTGATTCAATCCGCTTTTCGTTGGAAAAACCAACGCAAATTTCATGTCGACTTTCTCTCGCCCTATTTTTTTTCTTCAAATTGTTGCAACACAAGGATTTACATGCAATGGGCTTACTATCACTGTGGCGTATTAATCTAATAATACAATGGAGTGTAAACTCGTTTTATGTGAGTTCTCGTTGTAATGCATACATTTATGGGCATTTTCTCATTGATTATAACATATAAAATTCAGCTGTCGCTTTTCCTTGTGTCGTAAAACCCAATAGAAATGCTTGTTCGCACACAAGAAGACAGTGGTGACGGGGAAATATTACATTTATGATGGATGGACTTGGTAATGTATCTCAAAAAATTATCTTGCCGGCAATGACATACTTTATTATAGATTTGTATGGAGTAGAGGTAAGATTCGAGCACAATATCTTCAACGTGAGTTAAATACTCTTAACTACTTGAGTTACGAGTCCCAGACTCTGCCTGTCATCTTTGTTGTGGAACTTGGATTTGGGGTCACCTTTTCGCTTGAGAAAAATAAGAGACAGTTTGCAAGAAAACACCGACAAAAAGTGGAATTAGAGACCTCAAATTGCGGAGACCACAAGAGAGCCAAGAAATAGAAAGCGGTGAGAGAGAGTCCGTGATATCATATAAAACTCAGCTGGCATCCACCATGCAAGACCTAATCAATCCCCCCCTACCCCCGGATTAAAAGACTTGGTCCGACTCCCTAGATCTACAGATATACATACATGCATACACATCGATGAGAATTCTAAAGTTTCTCACATCTTATCTATTCATCCTGTGGTTAATTTTCATTAAGTACTGTTTGTGTTTAATTGTAAATAAAAAAATTCAAAATGATTTTGACTGCTCAATATATGATGAACGGATAGGATGTGAAGATCATTAGGATCCTCACAAAGTGAATACGGATGAGAACAAATCCCATAGACATCTCTCTCATATATATATGTGTGTGTGTGTACATACACCTTGGAGAACCCAAGGGCCTAGATATCAGTATTTGGTGGCTTCTAGGGTTTTGTAGTTGTAGAGAAATTGCAAGGTTTACCAGTAGTCAATTTGGTTAATTAGACCAATCTCGACTTATTGCTAATCAAGTTGGTTGGAACCGAGTGTTTTTTTTTTTTTTTTTTTTTTTGGCATTTAAATTCGAGTCTTTTTTCTGTAATTTAAATAAATTTAGCGTAGAACTCACCACTATTCGTTCCACTCTTTTTTGCAAAAGCCTATAACTCTCTTTCTAGCACACAATCTTGTCAGCTCTCTCTTCAATGATGAGTTGTATCAGAATTTTCTTGGCGTCAACCGTCCAGAGGATGACAAGTGGATACAAGAAAAGAAGGACACCGAAACTTTCTTCCAGGTTTGATGTGCGGCCTGCGGCTGCAACCTCATCTTTTGCAGGCATGGAAGTCTCCAGCCAATTCAGGCAAGTGTTTGAGGTCATGGATGCAAATGGGGACGGGAAAATCTCCCCTCTCGAGCTCAGCGCCGTGCTTTCGTGCCTCGGAAACAAGAAGTCGATCGCCGCAGAGGAAGCTGAAGGGATTGTGAGGGAAATGGATCGTAACGGAGATGGATGCATAGACTTGGATGAATTCATGAACGCAGTGAATGTTGACAGATCAAGAAGTAATGATAGTGATAGTGTTGGGTTTGGAAATGAGGAAGAAGACTGTGAACTCATGGATGCTTTTCGTATTTTCGACACGGATAAGAACGGGAAGATTTCAGCCAAGGAGTTGCAGAGGGTTCTGGTCAGCCTTGGATGCAAAGAATGCAGCCTTAGAGAGTGTAGGCAAATGATTAAAGGGGTTGATAGGAATGGAGATGGAGCTGTGGATTTTGAAGAATTTAGGTTGATGATGACAAGAAACTATGCGTGCTGATTGAAGGTGTCTACTTTAAGTTAGGCTGCAGCTAAATCATGTATAAATTAAATGGAAAGAAGCTTAGTTGGGTTAACAAGATTTAAGAATGCATACATTTTGTATTAATTGTTGAGTCTTTTTCCAAACAAAAAGGGTTTATCACTTGATTTGTGTTAGAGATATGATCTTAGGAGTAGATTGCCGGTGCGTATATGGTCTTCATTTTTAATCTAAATCTACTATGTTTTAGACTTAAACTCTTCTTTTTTCATTTAATTTAATTTATGTAATTTAACCCATATCCCTTGTAATATAAAATAAATGATTTTAGAGAGGTTATAAGAAGGCAGAATATAGTCACTTAGTATTAGTTCTTCTTCATTTGTAAATTAAAGATCTTAGGTTCGATTCTCGTAAAAAATGAACTTAAACCACATTATTAATAGCTCATTATAAGGTTCAGTTTACCTCCCTCCCGTATAAATACTATCATTTATTAAAATAAATAAAAAATGCAGAATATACTCCCCCACCACAATAATGCTGTCTCACTTTCTCACTCTTTGACTGTAGTTTCTAGTTTCTTGGTTTCTTCTCTCTCTGAGACACTCTCTCTCTGGTGTTTGGAAAGTATTATCCATAATATGGGTCCTCTATCATTTGTCCAAATATGAGAATTATTCATTAGTGCTTGTCAATCGGCTCCGGTTGCTTCTTATCTTGTGTGATGAGGATGTGATGTGTCCTGCCAATAAAAAACAAACAAAACAGTGGTAGCTTTCTTAAGTTGATAATAACAACCCAAGGAATAGGATTTTCTTCTTCTTTTTTTTTTATCCTTTTCTTTTTGGTATTTAAACGGCCGCAAACCATGTCATTTTATGTTAATTTTTTTTTTTTTACAAAGAAAGACAAAGAAAAAAGTGTGAGAAAAAGGAAAAGTAAATTCTGATAGAACATGTTAATCATTTTATGTTGACTGTTGTAGGACATTTGTCAAACTGACATTACAAAACATACATAAAGGTAAAACAAAATTATAAAATTGACGAATTATAATAGAACACATGCATTACTATATATGACAAATGAGTCATATTTATCGTGGTTGTGTCATTGTCGTGTCAAACTCGTAATTTTAATAGGTCATGTCATGACACTCGAATTATTTTAATAAGTTTCAGAATTCAAACTTAAACACGATCCATTAAAATCTACGAGTTACACGACCCAACCCATTTGAACCCATTAAAAACAATATATACTTTAGTTCATAATCAAATAAAAGAATTCATACGAAATCACAAAATATTAGCATGAGTTCGTAAGTTCCTTTTTGTCACATAAACGCCTTAGGTTTTGCCCAACAAACCTTTGTCACACAAAGCTCGTTGCACAAGGTTTGGTTTGACGAAAATTAGAAAGCTTTGGGCAATAGCAATTTGCTCGACAACAATTTCGACGAAAAGACCAAAAAAAATCTGACATGAAAATTTTGCCCAAAAAAATGGTGGGAAAGAACTCTTGCGGATGAAAAACATATGATTCATCGGGCAAACCTTTAAAATGGAGGGAAATTTGACTCTTTTGGTAAAAACTTCGGGGAAAGTTTTTGGGCTTGCCCGACAAAAAAAGTGATATTACCCGACTGATTGGGGTACCTTTGCCCGACAAAATAGTACGTGAAAAATACACAAGGAACATAGTATGTGAAATATACATGCGTGTATGATTCAACAACCTTGCTAAAAAAAATGCCAAACTTAAAATTTGCCCATTTTTTTATTCATACTACTTATTTATTTTTGGAGTAATTAGGTTTTCATCCTTATTTTTACTACTCTATTGATTAAAACCTTATTACTTTTCAATTTTTGATCAAGGTCCTTTGTATTAATAATATCATTAATTATTTCAATAATAAAATATTTTTTATTTCTAAATATATTCATTTAATATTAAAAATGTTACAATTAGTATATTTATATTTATGGCTAAATTTTTTATCATATATTTTTATTTTTAGTTTGTACCCATTTTTAATTTGCAACCCTTTTTTAATTTGTACCAATTTTCCTTTCAATTTTAATTTGTACCCATATATTAATTTCTTTTTGTGCCCATATTTTTTGAAAGTTTTATTTGTATTGTACCCATATTTTTTTTATTTATTTGTACCCATTTTTTATTTTTGCTAAATGTACCCATTTTGAAGAATGTACCCATGTTTTGATACAATAATTTTTTGGTTATTTTTTATGAATGTACCCATGTTTACACACACACACACAATAGTATATTTATATTTTAATATTTGTAATCCCACAAATTATGTTTTTTATTTAAAATCTCATTACTATAAACAACTATAAATTTTAATTTTTAATTTAAAAAATATAGTAACGTACATAGAAATAAATTATCAATTAATTTTAGGGACTTGGATCAAAAATTGAAAACCAACAAAGTTTCAGTCAAAGATTATTCATAACTAGGGACCGCATCCAAAGTCTCCCTTTATTTTTTTACCAAAATCTTAAAAAATAAAAAACTAGTATGCCATTCAATGTATAACTGGAAAAAAAAAATTGTTGGCATTAAGTAATTTTTGCAAAAAAAATTGTTTTTTTTAACACCTACTTATCATCAAAACATATCTCTAATTAAAAAAATAACGATTCAAAATAAAAACCTCCCCACGTTCCCTTTCTCTCTCTGTTTCCAACTCTCTTTCATATATATTTTTTTCTTTTTAAATATTTTATATGTACACACATAATATGTGGGCATTCTGACACACCCTGACCCGAAATGTTCAATAGGACTCCAAATCGAGCTGTGTTGACCGACACCTAGAAGGTGACGAAGTCATAAAGTGTGCTGATGTGGCAAAGTGTGAATAAATTTGAACCTAAGAGTGCCTAAATACCAAAGTGCGCTGGTGAGCAAGAATGATCCCACTTCACACGTGACGATAAAGCATAAGTAAGTACAGTAGAGTGGATGAGGATTATACCCTAGGAAGTAACCACCTATCCTAAGATTTGCCAAGAATCCTCGTCGATACGAACTTTCAGCAAATTAAACCTGGAGGGGCGCAAAACTAGAAAGTGTGAGTGGGCAAAAACAAAGCTTTTCAAAACCATTTCAACATCAACGATAGTAACCCCTCGCGCATAAAACCTGTATAATTTCACAGAAAATAGAATATATATATATATATATATATATATATATACATATCTAAAAACCATGCTCATAATAGTAATATTCAAAAGTATGCCATGCCAAATGTCTCAAAATAACTGAATAAGTAACTCAGGTGAATTAACTCATGAGAAATAACATATCAGCCGGATCCACCTAAAGTGGCATGTACGGTTGAATCTATAGCTCAACAAGTATGCCTGCACACGAGTCGGAACCACCTAAAGTGGTCTGTACGATAGGACTAAGTGTAAATAAATACGCTCAAGTGCTACGATCCCTTGAAGACTGTGCGAATAATCGCGGGTCACCTACGAGTCGGAACCACCTATAGTGGTTTGTACAACAGGCTTGTGCACCTAACTTGGATCCAAGGTGAGCGTATGGTGCGGGAGGTGAACATCACGTGAAGGATTGTGTCCTAACCACGAGCGGGAGCACTAACACCAGGGTGCATGTTTATTAGCTCTTAATGCATCTCAACATACTCATCAACTCACATTAACAATCTATAACTTATCTGGTACTTACCTTAGCGTCCACAGCGTCAAATCACAATATGCATAGTATACTAACTCATAATCTAAGTATAAATCATGAGGCATGGCATTTCAAAACATAATTCCATTAAAACGCATTTTCTAGGAAAAATACCAAGCATACATATATATACTGAAAACAAAAGCCCACTCACCTAGAGTTCACGCTACAACTCCCTAGCACAACCATAGAGGCCACTCACCTAGAGATCACGCTACAACTCCCTAGCACAACCATAGAAGCGTCACGAACGATTGGCGCCTAGAACAATTATCAAATCACAACTCAGAATTCTTATCAATAAAATATGTAACTTACATAAAACACATCCCTACGTAGTTTGATTTGGAAGACCCGCATCACAGATTTCCGATCCCTTACTTCCAAAGATTCACATTATACTTCTAAAACAACATCCTAAAGTTCCCTTACAATCCAACGGTCGGATCTCCGCCGATTGCCAAAACCAAGTGGCGGTTAACATTTTATTTTATGAACTTACAAATCTAATTTGGGAAGATCCGTATATCGGATTCCCGATCCGTACGTTCCTATGGTCTCAAATATTATGTACTATAACATATTAAAGTTTGGTGACGATCCAACGGTCAGATCATCGATTCATATAATGACCTATTAACGTAACGTAGAGAATTTACGTTCCACCAATCAACCTACGTCATACAATTACCAAAACTGAGCTCAAAACATCTAATTTAGCTTAAGAATAACATCGACGGCCCCATGGCCACGCGTCGCCGTGCGTGGCGGTCGGCCGCTCTGACTCGCCGGAAAATCCAACTTTTTCAAAAAATTACCAAAATTTACAGGAATGAAGATCTTAATGAGTAGAGTAACTTTCATACCTGTGACCAAGGCCAATTTGGCCGGGAATAGCTTCAATTTCATTAAAACCCGTCGGAAACCCTATACTTATGTGTGCTCGATTCGACCTCCAAACTTGCTCCGACGCCTCCACCACTGCCTGGGCTTTGGTCCTGGATTCTAGGGGAGTGCTCTAGTGGTGGTAATTGGCTGAGTTAGCTTCACGTTTTGTGGATTGCCACCGTACACCTACACACGCCACCGGTGCATTTTTCCTAAATTTACCAACAAATTCCTTCTAATTTTGGATGGAAATGGAAGAGTGAAGGCTAGGAAGTTGTTTCTAGGTGGTGGTTTGCTTTGATTTGTCAGAAAAATGACCGAATTTGGCCGTGGAGCTTGTCGGGTCGAGCGGGTCAAGGGGAAACCCGGTTTTCCCCTTCATTTTCTTCTCCCTCCTTTCCCTCCTTTCCCCCTTCTCTGGTTGGACACTCTCTCCTCTCTCCTCTCCCCATTCGTCCACCCTCTCTCCCGGTTCTACATGCTCTCATCCATTCCTCTCCTTTCTGATTGGGCAATAGCCCTTCTTTCTTCTCTTCTCCCATTCCCCACTGCTTCTTTCTCTTGTTCTTCAACTTTAAAAAATAACTAAATGATAAATAAATAAAAATATTATAAAAATATA